CTAAATTAGGGACGGCTAGCGCAGATAGCCCTCGTGTAGCTTTGCGCGAAATTCAAAAACAAACAAGACGAGAATGAAACATTGATAGCAGTAACAAACTATCCATGAGTCATGATGACTTTAGTCGTGCCTCTGGTTCTGAAATCTTTACACTCAGTCCTTTAGAAATTAAGCAAACTTTCTTTACCTCTATTACCACAATCAGCTTCTAGATTGAACAGAGTAGTACGTTACAGATATGTTTGCCTATTGTTCTCTTCACTGAATTCTATGTATCTAAATAGAATTTGATTCAATCTATTTATTTTATGTCTCTTGATGTTATTTTTATAACATTTAAACTACATAACCTCGTGAATTATTAATTAAATAAAGTCACTTTTTAATTTTATTGTGTTTCCGATTTTACTCTTAGTTCTTTACTTTTCGTTATATTTAAATAACATTACATAACAAGAGTTTTATATAAAGACCAAAGTTGATGAACGATTGAGTAGCTAGATCTTCCTCACCACTTTGCCCAACTTTACTATATGTTACCTTTAGTTTTTGTTTTTAAATACGGTAATATTTACTGATAAGTTCCCAATACCAAAGACCTCATATATCACACTGACTGTTTTGTTTCCAAGGGACGAATAATGTTTTGTTTTTAACCTTTTACTCCTGACTCATCTCACCCATTGCCGATTTCCTTTCTTTTGTTGAAATTCAAACAAACACTGAGAACTTTAATTCATGTATATATACAAATAATATGGTAAGCCTAAATTTGGCGTTGGGAACATACTTCTAAGCATATCCATACGTTTAATATGAGAAATATGAAATTTCTATAGGTTGTCCAAAAGATAATCCAACATCATGTATTTATGTAAAGGGTACTAATTCAAACCTTCGATTACTAACAACATATTAATGTAGACAAAACGTTTAGACGAAAGTGCTGTGAAAGTAGAAAACGAAGATACCAAAAAGTATTCAAGATTTAGATAAAATATAGAATTGCTAATTTGCAGCTTTCCTATACCTTTTGGCCTCGCATGGCCACGTGGTTAGGGAGCTTGGTTTGCAATCTGAAAGTCGTGAGTTCGAATCCTGATCCCACCAAACATGCTCGCCTTTTCAGCCGTAGGAGCGTTATAATGTGATGGTGAATCCCACTAATCGTTGTTAAAAGTGTAGCCCAAAAGTTGGCGGTGGGTGGTGATGACTAGCTGCCTTCCCTCTAGTCTTTCACTGTTAAATTTGGGACGGCTAGCGCAGATAGCACTCATGTAGCTTTGCGCGAAATTCAAAACAAACCAATACCTTTAGAGATTTTGCTGACCTTTATTTTTTCACCATTTATTCTTCTACCTTATCAAATATTTTTGTCCAGGTTACACATACCTTTAGAGTTTTGAGGACCTTATCAAATATTCTTGTCCAGGTTACACATACCTTTAGAGCTTTTGAGGATCTTATCAAATATTCTTATCCAGATTATACCTATAGACAAACAATCACAACAGCTCCAGCCTCATCACTATAACGTATAAGACGATTCTATTATTAATAATTTCCTCTTTAGCCCTTGTAGAGTTTTGTTATTAGCTTGTATAGAATTTTATTTTTTACCAGAAGATATGTTTCTTGGTTTTCCAGTAACATATTCCACGATATCTGTAGTGTTCACGTTTGAAAGACAGATCGCCCACCATTTGATTCAAATATTTGCTCCAAGTGCTTTGATCGTCACTTTGTCTTGGTTTTCTTTTTGGATGGGTCTTGAGGCCATCCCGGGAAGGGTCAGCCTATGTGTGACTAGTCTCTTGTCCCTCTTCACTCAGTTTTCTGGTATTAGAGGAGATCTCCCCCCAGCATCTTATATTAATGTAAGTAACCTTTGCAATCTTGTTTCTTTGTTATTGCTTGCTTTGAATGACACGCATATTTACCTGTCACTGTAATAACGTATAAACAATATGCATTAAAAATGACGTAATAACTTGAAAACTGGCTTTGACGTTTAGAAATATACTGAAATTACTTGGTAACAAGAAAATGTCATTTTTGGAGAAAGCTTTTATTAAATATCGACAAAATTATAAAAATGCTAAACTAGAACAACTACAATGGCTTATTTATAGCTTGGCATAAAGGTTCTTTTGAATGACTGACTTATAGCTTGGCATAAAGGTTTTTTTGAATGACTTACTTATAGCTTGGCATAAAGGTTCTTTTGAATGACTTACTTAGAGCTTGGCATAAAGGTCCTTTTGAATGACTTACTTAGAGCTTGGCATAAAGGTTCTTTTGAATAACTTACTTAGAGCTTGGCATAAAGGTTCTTCTGAATGACTGACTTATAGCTTGGCATAAAGGTTCTTTTGAATGACTGACTTATAGCTTGGCATAAAGGTTCTTTTGAATGATTGACTTATAGCTTGGCATAAAGGTTCTTTGAATGAC